TTTTGACCTCCGTCTACTACAGCGCGCGCGTCGCCTTCTTCTGGAAGTAAAGTTCGGCGGATCAAATCGTGAGTACGTATAGCATATTGTGAAGAGAGTAGGCATAGTGAGGTGCCATAGCTAGGTAAGCCCTAGCTAGGCAAGAGAGCATAAGCAAAGGAGGGTGTTCACTAGAAAGCAGCAGGATACATATAGGAAACCCTAAGGGGTTGTACTCGCTATAGAGTACCCCACTGCAGGCTAGAGAACAATAACATTCTGACACACCCCCATAGTCAAAGTGGGGTATAATCAGCAGAGCAAGTAGTCCTAGAGCAGGTTCACATGCACAAGTAAAGCTAGGGGCAGTCGCAGAGGGAAAGTGAGGAGGAGGAGGAACTGTGGAAGGAGAGAAGATGGGAGGCAACGACTGAAGCTGCAGAGGCACGGGCACAGGAGCGGCTGACTCAGTGGCTACCGAAGCAAGGGCGACGGACTACTGGAGTAACTGGCTCCGCGGCTATAGACGAGCGGCAGGAGCAACGGACCCACTGGCGACTGGTGCAACAGGCTCACTGGCTACCGAAGCAAGGGCGACGGACTACAGGCGCTGCAGGCGACACGACCGCTACCTCCACACAACCTCCTCCAACTGCCCCACACCCTCGACACACACCCCCTGCTGAACCCCTAACTCCACTCCCACAGCACCCCCCTTAAACCCTAAACCCTAGGCTCCCACACACCCACCCCCCTCACCGGCAGCTGCAGCAGTGGGAGACGAGGGAGGAGGAGGAGCAAGGGGAGGAACGCACAACCGCCACCCCCACACCCGCCACCCCCAAACCCTAACGTAGGTAGGAGCGCAGGAAGCTGTAGGGACGGGTCACGGAGGGAAAGGGAGGCGGCGGGGGGTCTCCAGGGCGCCACGAAGGAGCAGGGCGCGGGCCCCCCGAGGGCGCCACGGCGGGTGACGGGAGGGGGGCCGCGCACGGGCCCACAAGGGCGGCTCGACGGGCGACGGAAGGGCCGCGCGTGGGCCCCCAAGGCGCCGCGACGAGGCGACGGTTGGGGCCGGCGCGCGGGCCCCCAAGGCGCCGCGACGAGGCGACGGGAGGGGCCGGCACGCGGGCCCCCAAGGCGCCGCGACGAGGCGACGGGAGGGGCCGGCTCGCGGGCCCCCAAAGCGCCGCGACGAGGCGACGGGAGGGGCCTGCGTGCGGGCCCCCAAGGCGCCGCGACGAAACGACGGGAGGGGCCGGCTCGCGGGCCCCCAAAGCGCCGCGACGAGGCGACGGTTGGGGCCGGCACGCGGGCCCCCAAGGCGCCGCGACGAGGCGACGGGAGGGGCCGGCGCGCGGGCCCCCAGGGCACCGCACGAAGCAGGAACCCGCCGCGCGCCTCGGGGCGCACGGCGGGCAGAAAACCGCCACGCGCCCCGAGCGCGTGGCGGGAAGAAAAATCGTAGGTCGCGCGCCACGGGGCGCGCGACACACAGTAGGGCAGCGGAAGTAGGTGGGCCCACAGGCCAGGAGCGTAACCGCTCTGATAGCATGTGAAGAGAGTAGGCATAGTGAGGTGCCATAGCTAGGTAAGCCCTAGCTAGGCAAGAGAGAATAAGCAAAGGAGGATGTTCACTAGAAAGCAGCAGGATACATATAGGAAACCCTAAAGGGTTGTACTCGCTATAGAGTACCCCAATGCAGGCTAGAGAACAATAACATTCTGACACATATTATATTCTGGGTGATAAATATCACCTACCCGATCGTAGACGCACTGGAAAAAAATATATTACCCATTCGGAAACAGATGCGACTCGGGAGGCATCAACCCTAAATACCAGGAAGTTATCCGTTTTAGGGTTGACCCATCCCGAAAATGCATCCAGGTTCCTTAAGAGTTGTAGTTTTTTTTTGCTGCCCTAAGAGTTTCCAGTAGAGTCGGCTCGCTAAACGACACGCGAGCGAAAATGCGAGCCGGTACATGCCACTAATAACATAATTACGTGCAATAAAAGAAGACCCTATGTTAATCCCTCTATGCGCAGCGGTTTGGGAAGTTCCGGGCCAGGCCTGTCGCTACAAGGGCATTTGCCCTTTTTGCCCTTGAATTCACGTGCTGGTTCAGGCCCAGCTCAGAGAATTCAAGGGCTGGCTTTGAGGGCAGCCCGTTTCCCTTACGGGCTGGTTGAACGCCTAACCCCGATTTCACGTACGCTCAGAGCCTTCACCTACCACCCTACCCCCTCATTTCCCTTGATATGTTACCCCTGCTTACATAGAACCTTCATACATACTCCCCCCCCCCCCCCCCCCCCCGTAGCATGGTAGACCGGCTATGTACCGCAGCCCTCATGTGTATTTGAACATTATCTACGTTCACGATGTGTTAAGCTCAAGTGCAGAAGGATGTGTAGCCCTGGATCTAAGTGTTGAAATCTGACTCAACCCGGATAATTAAAGCCCAGCCCCCGAATTACAAAGAAGCCTTCACAAACTGGGGCCAGTTTGTGAAGCACTCCTGCTGGTTTCGGGATAGCAGGGTTTAGGGGAGGTTTCCGAACCTATTTTCGCTGCTTTCCCAAACCTATTTTCCAGCGTTGACTTCCGTTGAGCAATTCGGGTTCTGCCCTTTAAGGGCTGAATTCAGGGCACCTCAGCCCGCTAAGTTCTGGACCCAAAGCAAGCGACAGCCCTGTTCCGGGCCTCTCGGCCCCTGGTCGATCACCCCTCTGGCACTGTTCGGCCCCTCGTTGATCTTTTCCCTTTGTTTTCTGTCCGGACCGCCAGTCTGATCTCCGAGACGGTCCTCTTGCGCTTTAAAGCGACGGTGCACATTTGCCACCCAAAACCCAGAACCCTGGCGAACTGTTACTGCGGATGGAAAGTGTCCGCACGAAATCCTGGTTTTCGCCAGCCAGCACTTTCGCGCTGGCAAGCCTGGTTCAAAAAAAAAACTTCTGAACCCAACACTGCCAAAAGTTGCCCGTCGCTTTAAATAAATATTTTGGCAGTGTGTATTTTTATAAATATAAAGGCCATCCACAATTGTTGTACTGTTGGTCGTGTGTTTGCGGTGGGACAGATCTGGATTCTGCAGCAATTCTCCACTTCAAATCAACGCGCTTTCCCTTCCCACCACCGCCACCACCACACATCCAAACCAGAACAAGCCAGAAAAATCTGCTTTCCATATGATTTTTCCACCCAACCAATCCTTCAAATCTATTCCATTCTCCACCTATCCTCCCTACACATTCCATCATTCACATCAGCTGTGCACACTCTACTTGCTCGTACCAAACACCTCCGCCGAATGCACCGACCGTGGCGCCTTTCGCCGCGAGGCGCGCCGCCGTGGGGTGTGTGGAGGGCGCTGCTAGGGGCGGCGTGGGTGGCGGGATGGTTGGGCCTGTGCGCGTGGGTTGTGTGGTTCGCGCACACGCAGGCCGCAAATCCGCGGGAGGAGGCGATGCGCGGGTGGTGCCGCTTGCGCGTGCGTTATTTCTACCAGCGCCTTCTCTCGTCCGTCTCGCGCGTGCAGGTGCGACGCCCCACAGCAACGCACCGCGGCATTGCTAGCAATGATCGCGAGAGACAACTGTGCGGGCGGCTCGCTTGCTCCGTCGACCACGGAACGACTGACACCGGCGGCAATCGTCAGCCGCGCCTGTCCCTCCCGTTGCACCGCTTGAGATACGCGAAATGCCGCTCGCGACCCTTGGTGACCTTCGAATGCCGCGTGACCCTGAAAATGCCGTTTGAGACTCTCAAAACGCCGTTGGAGACCCTCGAATCGCCGTTTGAGACCCTCGAAACGCCGTTTGAGACCCTCGAAACGCCGTTTGAGACCCTCGAAACGCCGTTTGAGACCCTCGAAACGCCGTTTTGAGACCCTCGAAACGCCGTTTGAGACCCTCGAAACGCCGTTTGAGACCCTCGAAACGCCGTTTGAGACCCTCGAAACGCCGTTTGAGACCCTCGAAACGCCGTTTGAGACCCTCGAAACGCCGTTTGAGACCCTCGAAACGCTGTTTGAGACCCTCGAAACGCCTTTGTATCAGAGGGGAAGCAATGCCCTCCGCTCCAGCCGCCCCCTTCTGCGCCGATCCCTTGTTCTCCACCTAGGGAGAGGGGCGTAGCGGGGAGGAGCGGAGAGGAGAGGGGCGGAGAGGAGAGGGGCGGAGAGGAGAGAGGCGGAGAGGAGAGAGGCGTAGAGGAAGAGGCGGAAAGGAGTGGGGCAGAGAGGAGAGGGGCGGAGAGGAGAGAGGCGTAGAGGAAGAGGCGGAAAGGAGTGGGGCAGAGAGGAGAGGGGCGGAGAGGAGAGAGGCGAGGGGTGGAGATGAGAATGGCGTAGAGGAGCGGTGCAGAGAGGAGAATGGCGTAGAGGAGCGGTGCAGAGAGGAGAATGGCGTAGAGGAGCGGTGCAGAGAGGAGAATGGCGTAGAGGAGCGGTGCAGAGAGGAGAATGGCGTAGAGGAGAGGGGACGAGAAGAGGATAGGGGCGGAGAGGAGAGGGCGGAGAGGAGAGGAGAGGAGGGGCGTAGTGGAGAGGGACGGGAGGCGAGGCGGCAGAGGAAGGAGAAGGGTTGATGGGGCTGGGGAAGAAGTAGCTGGGCTCAGCGAGATTGCACCGACCAGCACCACCCTCCAACCTGCCATCGCACCCTTCCCTTGCCCCTTTCCATGCCATGCCCTTCCGTGCTGGCATGCCTGTCCTGCCTCTGCCACGGCCTTCTCTCCCTTTGCCACGTTTCCGCGTCCTCCCTTGGTGTGCTTCGCCCTGTGGGTTGCGAGGAGGGCAGGAGATGTCAGTGCTGTGCGCGCGTTCCACGGGAGCTTTGTGCTTTCCCTCCCACACACCCCCCCCCCCCCCTTCCCCCCCCCCCCTCTCCCCTTATTCCGCTTCGGCCTGTGGGGCTGGCTGCGAGCACAGGAGATGTCAGCGCTGGTGCGCGTGTTCAACGGAATCTTTCTGCTTTCCCTCCCCTCTCCCCCACCCCCCCGCCACGGCAGGAGATGTCAGCGCTGGTGCGCGTATTCAACGGGTACGGCGAGCGCAGCAGCACCAACCTCACGTACTGGGGGCTGGCGGGGTGTGCGGACAACCGCAGCATGGAGCTGTACAATGCGGCCACCCTGGGCATGGCTGACCTCACCACCGGCACGCTCATCATGCTCGTGGAGGACGCTGACAGGTGTGTGTGCGACGAGCAGCGAGGAATTCGGGTTCACGGTCTAGGGTGGATGGGGAGGAGTGGGCGGCGACGTGCCTCGGCATGTCGGACCTCGCCACGGGCACCCTGATCATGCTCGTGGAGGACGCTGACAGGTGTGCGTGAGAGAGGGGAGGGGGAGGGGGAAGGGGGGATGGAGGGGGCGGGACAAGGGGCGGGGGAGGGGGTGGAGGACGACCCGAGCCAGAGTGAGCTTGGCGGTACGGTTTCAACTGCATGCGGCTCACCGAGTCAGCCTGGCTGGCTGGAGCTGAGCCGACTTGCCAAGCAGGATTGCCCCAGACTGTAGTGCTGGCTGGCTGGCAACCCCAGCCTGGTGGTGCCCACTACAGGCACATTGTAGGGTAACGTTACATGGCTCCGCATCATGCCTGCCGACCTACTGTGCCAGTATTGACCGTTCGGTCAAACCCATGTTTGATCTGGTCCACTTGTTCTTCTTCCTGCTTCCTGCCTCCTGCCTGAGTGCCTGGCATGCGCCTACCTGCCCGACAATCAGCTCGACTGATCTTGACCCTTTTCTCCCTCTCACTTTTCTTCCTGCCACTTGCCTTCACCATTCGCCCGCCTGCCTGCCGGCCCTCCTCCCCCCCCACACCAGGCCAGTGGAGGAGCGCATCAGAGGGCGGCCCATGGTGGAGTCACTTGATGGAGATCTCAGAACCTGAACCATGCATCTTCTTTTGAGTCGACTCAAAAGCAGACTCAGAACCTGAACCATGCATCTTCTTTTGAGTCGACTCAAAAGCAGACTCAGAACCTGAACCATGCATCTTCTTTTGAGTCGACTCAAAAGCAGACTCAGAACCTGAACCATGCATCTTCTTTTGAGTCGACTCAAAAGCAGACTCAGAACCTGAACCATGCATCTTCTTTTGAGTCGACTCAAAAGCAGACTCAGAACCTGAACCATGCATCTTCTTTTGAGTCGACTCAAAAGCAGACTCAGAACCTGAACCATGCATCTTCCGCCTGCCCGCCCACACCCACGGTGGAGCGCATCACAGGGCGGGCGCCCATCGCGGAGTCAATTCTGAGAATCCCTGAATTCAACCGTGCATGCTAACCATGCGTCTTCCTGCCTGCCCGCCCGCCTACGCAGACCTACAGTGGAGCGCATCACAGGGCGGCCCATCTTGACCCTCCTTGGCCTCCCGGCCCCCCGCAAGCCACTCTACATAGTGAACGTGCTGGGCAGCATCGAGGCGTCGGACCCCATCCCGCCCCTCACGGACTTCTCTGCCAGCGTGCCCCCAGCCACCCTCGCCTCCGTGCTCCAGGGCGTTCCTGCCGCCTCTGCGCCTATTTTCTTCGGCAAACATCTTGTGGGCATTGGTGGGTGTGTGGGCATGGGTGGATGTGTGGGGAGTGGGGACGGGTGAATGTGTGGGGACGGGTGAATGTGTGGGGACGGGTGAATGTGTGGGGACGGGTGAATGTGTGGGCACGGGTGAATGTGTGGGCACGGGTGAATGTGTGGGGACGGGTGAATGTGTGGGCACGGGTGAATGTGTGGGCACGGGTGAATGTGTGGGCACGGGTGAATGTGTGGGCACGGGTGAATGTGTGGGGACGGGTGAATGTGTGGGCACGGGTGGATGTGTGCCATCGCAATGTGCCATGATCCATCCATCCATCCATCCATCTGTCCCTCCATCTATCCACCTGTCCATCCGCCCATTCATCCATCCATCCCGCCATGCATGCAGTGATGTTGATACCCATCCAGCGCCATTCCATTCCACCGGGCGCGACAGCAGAGCAGCAGAGGGAGAGCGTGAGCACCATGTGGGCGGGGTTCAATTTTCTGCAGGAGGAAATGACAAGCGTCCTCGCGCTGCTTCATAACGGTTCCATCTCCTCCCCATCCCCCTTTTCTTCCCCATCATCCCTCTATTTCACGTCATTGCCCTGCACCCCACCACTCCTCTTCTTCCCCGCCACTCCTCTTCCTCTCCATCTCTCCTCTTCCTCCCCATCTCTCCTCCTCTTCCCAACTTAAGCCCGTCATTGCAACGATTTTGAGCAACTTTGTACCCAGCTCTCCCACCTTCTAGTGTGTTTTCTTCTACCCAGTTGCTGCCTGCTGCTGTGGTTGTGCATCTAGTGTAATGTGTGGCTGTGCCTAATGCCATGCATGTTGTGCCTAATGCCATGCATGTTGTGCCCAATGCCATGCATGTTGTGCCCAACGCCATGCATGTTGTGCCTAATGCCATGCATGTTGTGCCCAACGCCATGCATGTTGTGCCTAATGCCATGCATGTTGTGCCCAATGCCATGCATGTTGTGCCCAACGCCATGCATGTTGTGCCGAATGCCATGCATGTTGTGCCCAACGCCATGCATGCTGTGCCTAATGCCATGCATGCTGTGCCCAATGCCATGCATGTGTGTTCCTCGTTGCATGCATGTGCCTGCAAGCAGGAACCAGCCCTCGCTACTCGCTGGCCTTGTACGACACCACCAACCCAGGGCAGCCCATTCAGGTGCTGGGCCCAGAGCCCCTGCGAGTGGAGAGTGGGTCCCTGTACCCCTACGTGCTGCCCGGGCCCGTAGTGCCGTACCCCAAGCACGTTGAGCTGTTTCCCGAGGACCTGCTGGGTCGCACGTACGAGGCGCACTGCAGGTGAGGCGCACTGCAGGTGAGGCGCACTGCAGGTGAGGCGAGGAGGCGCAGTGCAGCCGGTGACAATAGTAATCACTGAAGTTGTGAAAAGGGAGGTGCACCTTCGACTGCCAAGAGTGATTACTTCAGAGATGTGCTGCGGTGTGAGGCTGTAGAGAGGCTGTAGAGAGGCTGTACTTCACAACAACCTAGCATCAAGTGACACCCCTCGGGGGAAGACTGCTCGGGGTGGGACCCCTCGAGGGAAGACTGCTCGGGGTGGGACCCCTCGGGGGAAGACTGCTCGGGGTGGGACCCCTCGGGGGAAGACTGCTCGGGGTGGGACCCCTCGGGGGAAGACTGCCACCCCTCGACTGCTGGATGACCTTCCTAGGTTGAAGGTGACTTATGAGTCGACTTGAAAATCAATTTGCTGCATGACGTCCCTAGGTTTTACCCCAAACGCAGGTTACCCCAAGTGGGTGCTGCTCGTGGTTTGAAACATCCCTGTGAAGTTTGACTTATGTATTTCATCTTCACATGCATCCCCATGTGCAGGTATGAGGGCGAGTACCCCAAGTGGGAACTCGTGTATGCCCCCATGTTGCTGGGTCTGCTTGTGCTGCTGGTGGCGGTGCTGGTGTCTACTGTGATTGCGGTGCTAGCGTGGAAGCAAGGGGAGATGCAGGAGGGCGTGAGGGAGATGCAGCTGTGCACGCTGGCGCTGGAGAGAGCTGAGCGCTCCAAGAGTGAGACCGTCGCCAACACCTCGCATGAGCTGCGCACGCCACTCATTGGCATGATAGGTGAGGTCGTATGTGCGAGTTGCAACAACCATTGTAACATTGGCATGTTTGGCGAAGCTGTAGATGTATGTGTGAGCTGCACTGTTCATTTGCAGGGTATTTGAGGCCGTAAACGTGTGGGACGTGCTCCCAATCATTGGCAGATAGGCGAGGCTGTGGAGAGGTGCGTGAGTTGCACTAATCATTTGCATGATGCAAGGGAAAGCTTACTAGCGGAGGTGGAAACATATGAGCTGGCATGGATAACTGAGGATGAGCCAATCACGCTTCGACCACACTTTGGTGGCGCATTGACTCTCATTGACTCGTCGTCTCGCGGTGACTCACATTGGATCGCATTGACTCGCATTGACTCCCATTGACTCACAGTACCTCGCATTGACTCACATTGACTCGCATTGACTCACATTGGCTCGCATTGACTCACATTGACTCGGATTGACTCACATTGACTCACATTGACTCGCATTGACTCACATTGACTCGCATTGACTCACATTGACTCGCATTGAATCACATTGGCTCGCATTGACTCACATTGACTCGCATTGACTCATATTGACTTGCATTGACTCACATTGACTCAATTGTGTTGCATTGACTCACATTGACTCGCATTGACTCACATTGACTCACATTGACTCGTTGTCTCGCGGTGACTCACATTGACTCGCATTGACTCACATTGACTCACATTGACTTGACTCGCGGTGACTCTCATTGACTTGCATTGGTGGGAGCTCTTTTGGCTCAAGCATTGCAACTGAAATAAGGTTATTTAACAAATGTCGGACCAGCATCAGCATTTTTATGCAGTTCCTCTTCAGATCAATCATCGCTCTAACATGTTCCTCTTCTGTCAACATTTGCTCCCCCTTTTGTGCAGGCATGATAAAGGAGCTGTTGGAGTCATGATTGGAGGAGTGGCAGTATGCAGACCTAAGGGTGGCGAGGGCGTGTGTGGGTGAGAGAGTGGAGCTCATCAACCAAGTGTTGGACCTCAACCCTCCCCTTTTCCCCACTCACTCTCCTCCTCCCCCCTCACACACAGGCATGATAGAGGAGCTGCTGGAGTCGCGGTTGGAAGAGTGGCAGATGGCGGACTTGAGGGATGCGAGGGTGTGTGCGGGCGAGACGGTGGAGCTAATCAACCGAGTGTTGGACCTCGCCAAGCTGCAGGCCGGCAGGCTGCGGCTCGAGACCCTCCCGTGCTGCCTGCGCCGCATCGTGCGTGACGCGACGGCACTCGCTGCCTCGGATGCGCACACTAAGGAGTCGCACGGTATGAGCATGCTTGCTCTGCCTGCACCAGCTGCTTTCAAGTTGGCTTCACACAGGCCGCGCGTTCCATTCCAACCCATTGCTCTTTTCCTGTTCTTGCCTTATCTTGCTGTGCGCGCTGCGCTGCAGTGATGTGCCACGTGGACGAGGGTGTGCCAGCTGTCCTCATGGGCGATCCGACTCGCCTCTTGCAAGTGATTGGGGAGCTCATGGGTGGGTGATGGGTTGTTGGCAGACAGACTCGCATGATGCTGCTCTCAACTGTGCATGTGCTTTCCATGTGCATTGCATGTGCGTTAACACAAATTCACCTAGTACCTCCCCAAAACAATCTCCTTGCTTTGTTTGTGACAGCCTGTGATACAAGCCCTTATCACATCCCTTTTGGGTAAGATTCAATATCAGCTCTTGACGACAGCCCTTTTCACCGCCCTCTTTTCAGCACCTATATTGCACGCCTTTAATACACCCTTTGTGCGTCTGTCCACTTCAACTCCCTCTCACTCACAGCGCACGCCATGGGCAACACCACAGGGGGCCACGTGACCTTGCATGTCGCCTGCATCCCTCCCCCGCCTCCCCTCCCCGCTTCCATCAACTGCTTCGACCTGCACGGCCCATCCAATAGTGCTGCCCCCGTGCATGCGCTGCCAGCCTCGCACGCCTCTCCGCCTCCCTCAGCACCAGGAGGGGGCTCCTCAGCACCAGGAGGGGGCTCCTCAGCCGCATGGCACCAGCTGGCTGCCTGTGTGCGCCGCTTCCCTCCGCCCACCGCTCTCGCATGCCTCCCTCGGATCCAGGCAGGAAGGCCGGGCGGCGGGGCCAACAGCAGAGGGGGTGAGGAGCATCGGTGGATGGGGTTGGTTGAGCGTTGCTGCGGGCGTGTGGCAGCGGTGACAGGCATGGGCGCGGGGAGCACGGGGGATTACGAAGGATCAGGTGGGAAGGGAGGAGTGGAGGTACAGGGTGGGGATGGGCGGTTGGGGGAGGAGGTGAGGGAGTGGGTGGAGGAGGCGTGCAGGGCGAGGGAGGAGGGCGAGTGGATGGTGGTGGTGGCATGTGAGGACACAGGTGGTGGTATACCACCCGAGGAGATGCGATGGGTGCTGGATCCACACGGGGACTCTCACCATGCCACACACACCTCTCATGCACTGTCTGCAGATGCTGCAGCTGATGGTGATGGTGATGGTGACGATCAGAATGGTCAAGGTGTCAAGGTGAGTAAACGCACAGGAGGGCTGCTTCCTTGGTTTGCTGCCGCCAGTATTCAAGCCTCTGGTTTATTTATTCGCTGCCAAGAAATGCCCGTGGTCATTCAGAGACATGCGATGACAAGAGTTCAATCGATCCCTCTTCCCTTCCGCTTCTCCCCTCCTCTGTGCCCGCCACCCTCCAGCAGGGCTCTCTTTTTCCCTTCTCTCTCATGCGCCGCTCCAGCAGGGCAGCATTTATAGCTGGTCTCTCGCACGAGCAAAAGGCAGCTGCTCGCCCCCGCTGGACGCCCTACCCCGTTCGCTTCCTGCTCTCCACCGCCCTTGTGAGTGCCACCTCCTCCCAGAGCTTAGGTTTAGATTTGTTGGATCGCATATCCAGTTGGAATTCTCCTACAATGTTTTAACGAATGTGCCAACTCACTATGGAGATCCGGTTGGATTCCCATCCCGCCATCTGCAACAAGTAGAAAAGGTCCACACAAACGCATCAGTTAAAGACATGGTTACAAAAAGCGCCCGGCAATATATAAAGGTTGCAAGGGCCAATGTTGCTGTGGCCGATGTTGGGTCAACAAAGGTATGGTGTGAACGTTAATCAACCAGAAGGCATCCAACTGTGGCTGAGAAGTGCATCCTAAAGGCCTGCCTCGGGCCGGGCCTCGTTCAAATCGGGCAGGCACCTTCAAGCTTGGCCCACGACAAACCAGTTCCTCATGGCTCGATCGAGGTTGAGTTGAGCCACGCCAGGCTTAAAGCCTGTCGCCTTCCCTTGGGACCTTGTTGGCAACAAGGCGTTTGCAAGGCGTTAGCAACCACACTTGAAACGAACCAGGCTGGTCGACTGACCCAAACCTGTCCAGGTTTGTCATGGGCCAAGATCTGTGCCTGGTTCAAGGCATGAGGAACTGGTTTGTCGTGGCCCGATCCAGGACTGGTCTTTGTATTCATGCCTACTGTCACCAACTGACGAGATTCATTGTTAAGCCCCCCCTTCCCCCATCTCCCCGTCCCCTCACCCACACCTCGTTCCCTGACCCTCTTGACCCCTTTCTCCCCCCTCGTAGGTGGCTGAGATGCGGGGAGACATGGCAGTGCTGTCACACGCCGCCACTGGCACCACCATTCTGCTGGCGCTGCCCTTGGGGGGAGGGGAAGACGCTGACAGCTGCGGGGACGGGGAGTGGGATGAGGAGGAGGGTGGTGGGGAAAGGGATGGGTGCGGGTCAGGAAGTGAAGGGGAGTGTGTGGAATATGAGAGTGGCACAAAGCCAGGCATGCTGCAGCAGGCATCTGTGCAGCAGCAGGAACCTAATCAGCAGCAGCAGCAGCAGCGGGCATCACGAACTCACTCTCACCTCAAGCCGCAGGCCAGCGTATCCAATGCCTTAGAGAATGCAGGAGAGGCCAAGGGGGAGTTGCGAGCGGTGGCAGCAGCGAAAGAGGAGGAGCCGATACCAGCGGTGGTGAAGGGGGGGCGGCCAACAGCACGGTCGCATTCGCTCCCCAAGCCTCATCTCCACACGGAGGGCCTGGGAGACGCGGAGGCGCCGGCCCCAGCGGTGGCGTCGGATCGGCGGACAAGACAGGTGCACTCTCTCCCCAGAATGCATGGTGCGCACGTGGAGGGATCGGATGAGTCGGAGGAGGCGGAGGTGCTGGTGCGAGCAGTGGTGGCGGGGCGGTCGGTGGCGGTGGTGGATGACAACGCGGTGAACCGCATGGTGGCGCGCAGAACGCTGCAGGGCTACGGGGCGCACGTGCTGCTGCTCCCCTCCGGGGAGGATGCGCTGCAAGCGCTCTCCTCTGCTTTCTCCTCTCCCACGCCCTCCTCCCCGCCCATCCACCTGTTGCTCCTGGACCTGCACATGCCGCCCGGCATCGACGGGTGAGTGCCGTGCTTTCCTCATCTGTGCTGCACCCTCCCTGCCCATCCACGTGCCACCCATGGTTGAGCTTTGTTGCCATCGCCAGTCTTGAGATTGCTTGTTCTGCCGCCGCTGCTACTGTGAGATTGTGGTTGCTACGTGCTCTGCTCCTGTGGTTCCGCATTGTTATCCCTTTCGTGACACCCATTGCGTCCCATTTCCCAACAGTTTCGGGACGGCTTCTCGGATTCGAGCCATGGAGAGGGCACAGCGCAGCAGCAGCAGCAGCCAGACAACACACGTGATGCCAGAGGGAGACAATACCCCTAGTGATGCAGCAGCAGCAGCAGCAGCAGCAGCAGGAACAGGAACAGAAGCAGCAGCAGCAGCAAGTGCAGTTGATGCAAAGACGCAGCACGAGCCCCTGTGTATCATAGCGCTGACAGCTGACTTGGATGCAGGAGTGAAGCGAGCGTGCTTGGAGGCCGGCATGGATGGAGCAGTGAGGAAACCGATCGTGGCACAGGAACTGCTGGCAGCACTCATAGCTGCAGGGTTTGGAGCAGCTGCTTTTTGAGTCAACCCAACAGTCACCAGATAAGAGCACTGACTGCTGACTCGGGTGTAGAGTTCACGCGAACGTGCGTGGAGGCAGAGACGGAAGCTGAGGAATGTGGGGCAGTGAGGAAGGTGGGGCAGTGAGGAATGCGGGGCTGTGAGGAAGGTGGGGCAGTGAGGATGATGGAAAAGTGAGGAAGCTGATGTGGCACAGGAACTTCTTGCAGCAGTCATAGCAGCAGGGTCTGGAGCAGGCACCATCTGACTCTGACTTTAACGGTCACCACATGAGTGGGTTTATAGCATGGCACTGACTGCCGAATCGGATGTAGGGTTGAAGCAGGGGAGGAGGCAGAGAGGGAAGCTGGGGAAGCTGAGGCATTGACGAGGCTGATTGTGACCCAGGAACTGATTTTAGTGCTCGCGGGGAGGAGGCAGAGAGGGAAGCAGTGCTCTGACTCCAACGTCCACGACCACACGAGTGCCTTTGTATCAGAGCGTTGACTGCTGACTTGGAATGTATGGTAGGATTGAAAGGGAGGAACGGAACTGATTGTGGCACAGGAGCTTCTTGCAACGCTCACAGCAGCAGGCACCTTGAGAGTGGCGCAAGAGTTACTACGACATGAGTGTCTATGTATCATAACGCCGCACAGGAGGGTTCTGTAGCATCCTGCCTGCCTGCTAGGCCTGCCAGGAAAAGAATGCATTCAGGTACCGCTGCGCTATTGTCCTGTGTGCGGATAGCCTGTGCTCACATCCCTCTCTTGAACAAAATTGAAGACGCCAATAACAATGACATCTACAGCTTTTGAACTTGCTAATGCAGGTTTCAGTCCAGCAGTAACACTGTCAAGAAACTCCTCCCTTTACCACCTTTCCCTGTCATGCGCACCCTCATGCCTTTCCCAGCCCCGAGAAATCCTGACTGAATGCTTCTACTCATTGTAACACTTTGGAGTAAAGCTCCCATACAACCCTGAAATTAAGGAATTTTGAATCAGCTGTCCTGAAAACCAACGCTCAAGAGAATGGGAAGTATGTTACCGTATAGTTCCGGATAAAAGACCCGCCGGTAAGAAGGTCCCCCGGGACTCTTGAATGGGTAGGGGGACTCTTATTGTGGTAGATTTTGTGAGGACCCCCCCTTTGTCTCTAATCATCATAAGAGCCCCTGTTAAGGGGGGATTTACTGTTCATTCCGAACAGTACTTTCCAACTCACCCTTATCCTTATCTTCCTAGATTTCCTAGTGCCACGTAGCACTCTACTTTTCTTGCTTCTACTTTCTAGTCCCACGAAGTACTTTCCGACATTCGACCTTGCATGCTATATCATCCTTGCTTGTATCCACCAATATCAACCAATTCTCATTCAACTCTTCTTCAATTACTCAGTAACTTCTTCGCCTATTTCGCTAATAGTTCTTTCGCCAAAGTCTTCCGCCGCGTTTCATCCTCGACTTAGTCGACCCCGCTAATTCTTTAGCGGACTTAGGGCGTCGGGCCTAACACTTGGTATCAGGAGCCTTCGCGGGGAGCGACTTCCAACGAGCGACCGTCGACGACGAGACTACGACGTCATCGTCCCGCGGTGCCGACTTGCACACTTGGAGTCGTCGAGCGAACATGGACGAAACCATGTACGCTCTCCCCCACGACATGGGCAACACGCTTGTCGAACTCATGCGCCAACTTCAAGAGTTGACGTTGGAAAATCGTCAGGTACGAGCTGAAATGCAACAGCTTCGTGAATTGTCTTCTAACTCCCATGGTCATGCCGCTCCAACTCTTGCGCCCAACACGTCGACTGGCGCGGAAGCGCTACCGGAACGTCGAAGCGCGCTCAAGCCGCAGAAACCCGAGTCGTTCGACCCGAGTCAACGCGACGCGAACGTGCGGACGTGGCTCTTCATGCTCAACAACTACTTCGCCGCGAGCGGGGTGCAAGAGGCGGACGCGCAGCAGCGGATCGAGTACGCCGTTACGCTGCTGAGGGGCCCGGCCTTGGAGTGGTGGCGCCAACTCACGCAAACTGCTGTAAGAAGGGCTCAGACAGACGGGCATCAACAGGGCGTGGGGCATGCAGCTGCAACTTCGAGCTTAGGGAGTTTAGCTTTGGGTGTTACCACGGTTCCGACGACATGGGAAGGATTTGAAGTGGCGCTGAAAAGTAGGTTCGATTTGGTGAACGCCTCCGAAGCTGCTAGGAAGCGTCTGCGTCATTTCCGACAGATAGGAAACGTCCAGGAGTACACACGACAGTTCTTGAGCATCTGCAACGAGATAGACGACATGACGGAAGCAGAGATGCGCGACCGCTACCTTGAGGGGTTGAAGCCGGACATAGCGGAAGTTATAGCGATTCATGGGTTGTCCACCTTCGAGTCAGTTGTGGCAGCCGCAGAACGCGTCGACGCAGTACGAAGCCGACGGGGTCGTGACGATCGCGATAGGGGATACAACAGACTGATCAACGACGCTCGATCGAGGGACGGACCATCGCCCATGGAGATCGGTGCAGTTAACAGTGACGGCTCGCAGGGAACGGGTTTTAGGGGGAACTGTCACTACTGCAAAAAGCCGGGACACATGAAGCGGGACTGCCTAGAGTTCAAGAAGCAGCAGCAGGGAAACGGAAACCGCCAGTAGATAGCGGGTCGCTAGCTGGTGTGGAGGTTCCCGTACCCGCCACGTCTACCAACGTAGAGGAGACGGCTTTGCAGCAGTCATCTACGGAGAACGAGGTAGACACTGTTGACCGACCAGTCGTGCTTCTAGGGAAGCTTCGCGGAGTTCCTGTTAAGATTCTCGTAGATAGCGGAGCTAGCCACTCGTTCGTGTCTTCATCGTTAGTCAGCCGCCTCCATCTCGAAGCAGATTCTGCAGTCAACTTCAAGGATGCTCGCATGATAGATGGGACGCCTCTTCACATTGGACCGGTTATCCGCAAGTTGCGCGTAGTACTAGGACCGATCACAGTTAGGCGCGACTTCGACTCTGCGACGCTGGACGGTTACGACTTCATCTTCGGTAGGGATTGGCTACGAACAGCTAGTACTCAATTCGATTGGGCTCAGAGAAGCTGCAGCGTCAAGGTAGACGGGGAGTTCCGGGAGCTGCCACAGTGGAGCGATGGGGCCACATCATCCACAGCTATTATTAATGCTGTTCGTGTGCGACAGTTAGTGAAGCGTGCGGCACGGATCTTCGCGGTTTTCCTTGAGGAGGTGGAAGCTGAGGAGGGGAAAGGAGGGAGTGCAGCAGTTGGTGCGAAGGCGACTCTTCCTGCTGAGGTGAGTGCACTATTAGCAGAGTTCGCAAATGTCTTCCCCGACGAGTTGCCCCCAGGGTTACCTCCCAGCCGAGCAGTAGACCATCGAATAGAGTTGGAGCCGGGGAGCAGGCCAGTAGCGAAGCCGCAGTGGAGGTTGAGTCCAGCAGAGACAGAGGAGATGACGCAGCAGGTTAGGCACTTTCTCGCGCAGGGGTTCATACAGCCATCTAGATCGCCTTGGGCAGCACCGATCCTGTTCGCGCCTAAGAAAGACGGAGGGTTACGGATGTGCATAGATTACCGCGCACTGAACGCCGCCACCGTCAAGAATAGATTCCCGGTGCCGAGAGTAGAGGATCTTCTCGATGCAGTGCAGGGCGCTAGAGTCTTCTCAAAGATCGACCTTCGTTCGGGCTACCATCAGATTCGTGTAGTTCCAGAGGACCAGCACAAGACGGCGTTTCGTACGAAGCAGGGGTTGTACGAGTTTAGAGTTCTACCGTTCGGCTTGACCAACGCCCCAGCGACGTTTCAGACGCTCATGAACACCGCCCTTTCAGAGTTCCTAGGTTCGTTCGTTGTCGTTTACCTAGACGACATCCTGATCTTCTCCAAGTCAAAAGAGGAGCATGTGCAACACTTGCAGAGGGTCTTTGAGGTCTTGCGAAGGGAGAAGCTGTACGCGAAGCAGTCAAAGTGCGAATTCTTTCTCCCCGAGGTCGAGTTCCTAGGACATGTCGTATCCGCTAGTGGCATTAGGACCGACCCGAAGAAGATCGCAGCAGTACAGGATTGGGTAGCACCGACCTCAGTCAAGGAGTTGCAGAGCTTTCTCGGATTCGCCAATTACTATCGTCGTTTCGTTCAGGGTTACGCATCGATCGCTAGTTCACTCACCGACCTACTTCGGAAGGGCGTAGAGTACGTTTGGGGTCCAGCGCAGCAGCAGGCGTTCGAGCAGATGAAGCAGTCGCTCACGTCTTCACCGACATTGTCGTACCCTGATCCCACTCGCCCGTACGTTGTAGTGACCGACGCTTCAGATCAGGCCATAGGAGCAGTGCTTCTTCAGGACCAGGGACGCGGGTTGCAGCCGATCGCGTACGAGTCGCGTAAGCTTAGGGAAGCGGAGTTGAACTATCCCATACACGACAAGGAGGCGCTCGCGATCATCCATGCGTATAAGGTGTGGAGGTGATACCTAGAGGGGGCAGATAGTGTGATACGCACGGACCATTGCTCGCTTCGCTTTCTCAAGTCACAACCGCAGCTGAGTCGTCGCCAGGCTAGATGGATGGAGTTCATGGAGGGGAGTTTTCACTATAGGATAGAGTACAAGCCAGGCGTTCGCAACCCAGCAAATCCGCTCACTCGCCCTAGTTGCCAGCTCGCTAGTCTCGCAGTCACTGCCGGCCATCCACTTCTCACAGCACTCTTCGAGCACGGTTACACAGTAGATCCCGACTTCACACCGCAGCCGCCCGCAGGAGCAGAGGTGTAGGGTAGTGTCTACATACGGAAGGGTACCACACGAATTTGGGTTCCTGCCTACCGCCCTCTTCGACAGCTCCTTCTCTCAGAGGCGCACGACGTAGTTAGTGCAGGGCACTTCGGAGCAGATAAGACGGCTAAGACCTTAGTCGCACGTACTTCTGGCCAGGGCTTGCAGCAGACGTAGAGGATTACATTCGCTCGTGAGACACGTGTCAGCGTACGAAGTCCTCTCGCCAGCGCAAGGCAGGACTTTTGCAGTCGATTCCGCCACCCGACCGCCCTTGGCAGGTAGTTACGATGGACTTCATCATGGCTTTACCGCGCACAGTTAGGGGTCACGACGCCATCTTCGTGGTAGTGGATAAGTTTTCTCGAGCAGCGCACTTCATCCCCACGCACGGCAAGGTCACAGCAGAGGAAGCCGCGACGCTGTTCGTAGATAACGTAGTCCGACTGCACGGGGTTCCAGATTCCATCATCTCAGACCGCGACCCTCGTTTCACTTCGAAGTTCTGGAAGCAGCTTTTCGCACTGTTTGGGACTCGCTTAGCCATGTCGTCTGCGTACCATCCAGAGACAGACGGACAGACCGAGCGTGTGAACCAGACCTTGGAGCAGATTCTTCGCAGCATCACGATGCACGACGCAGCCGCATGGGACAAGAAGCTGAGCATGGCCGAGTTCGCCTACAACAACACGCACCACTCGTCCACAGGCATGTCACCGTTCTTTGCACTTTACGGTCAGCACCCTAATGTCCCCACTCGTGTCGATCTCACACCCACAGTCCCTCGTGCGGACAACTTCCACCAGCATCTTACATTCATCCATGATCACGTGAGGAAGCACCTTGAGCTCGCAAATGCACGCATGGCACGCACCACCAACCGCAGTCGTCGTGAGGTGTCGTTCGCAGTCGGCGATCGTGTTCTCTTGGATAGCCGCAACCTCCGACTGCCACAGGACAGCAAGCTTTGCCCTCGCTTCATTGGTCCATTCGTCATTGAGCGCACACTTGGTCCAATCGCATACCGCCTCCGCCTTCCCGCTCATTTCCGCATGCACCCGTCACTCCACGTGTCTCTTCTTCGACCTTACACCGATCCCAACGCCACCTTCTCGGGCCGTGATCGCAATCCACTGCCGGTAGCTGTTGACACCGACGAGCCCGACTACCAGATCCAGCGCATCCTCAGGCACCATCGCCGTCTGCAGGGGGGTGTCTCTTTCATCGACTTGTTGGTTCGTTGGCGTGGTTACGACGCAGCAGACGACAGCTGGGTTCCTTCGTCCTCGCTGTCTCCTAACAACGCTTGCCTCCAAGCGTACCTCCAGTCTGCAGGCGCCGCGGACGTCGCCTCCTTGGGAGGGGGGTAGTGTTAAGGGGGGATTTACTGTTCATTCCGAACAGTACTTTCCAACTCACCCTTATCCTTATCTTCCTAGATTTCCTAGTGCCACGTGGCACTCTACTTTTCTTGCTTCTACTTTCTAGTCCCACGAAGTACTTTCCGACATTCGACCTTGCATGCTATATCATCCTTGCTTGTGTCCACCAATATCAACCAATTCTCATTCAACTCTTCTTCAATTACTCAGTAACTTCTTCGCCTATTTCGCTAATAGTTCTTTCGCCAAAGTCTTCCGCCGCGTTTCATCCTCCACTTAGTCGACCCCGCTAATTCTTTAGCGGACTTAGGCCGTCGGGCCTAACACCCCCCCTCTTTTCTGTATACAGTAGTTATTAATGCTATTGTGCATACGTTTTTACTGTCATAAATTGGAATTCTGACACGTTTTTTGTGTCAGACTCAAATTCTGACACTTCACTTGTGTCAGACTCGTTTTCTGACACAGATCTGACGTGCTGCTCGTGTGAAATTTGCGTGAATTCGGTACGAATATAAGACCCCCCCGCCCCAAATTGAGCTGTACACCCTAAATAACAGATTGATAGATGATAAATAAGTGCACCCCGGGTCTTCAAAATTTGCAACCGCCAAGATGTCCACCCTAGCATTTTTTTCAAGCAACTCTAGAGAGTCCCCCGGGTCTTCTAGCCGGAACTATATGGTAATAAGTGGTGTAAGACGAGAAATAGGCCCCTTCATAGTCCCTACTGGAATGACCACCACTTGCTTGACAGAGACGAGCTGAGAATCCTGGATGTAGCCCACTCACTGGGTCCCTCCTCTGACAGCTCACTTCTCACAAGTGTATCCACGCTGTTGCCGCCTCCAAAGCCGGGTCTCTCCTCCTCCACGTGAATCGCAGGTTCGGCGCTGCTACTGGAAGAGCCGTCCGCACAGTACTTGGTGAGGATGCCCTGCAGGCGGCGTGCGACGTCTTTCATGTCGGGGCGGCGGGAGCCGGGCACTTTGACGCAGTCGAGAGCGATGTCTGCCAGCTCCACCACCGCCTCCTCCGGTGCCTCCAGCTTGGGGTCCTTGAGTGACGCAAACTCATACGCCTGCACCTTGCTGGTCGCCTGCCATGCGGTGGGGAGTGGTGTGGATGTTGTGGGAAGGGGGGAAACACAAACAAACATGGGCGGACGCTGCTATCAGTGCATGTTTCTATCATGCACAGACACGTCAATCGATTGATAGTGCTACCATGCACACACATTTTCCAATGAAAGTTCCTATCATGCACAGACATGGCTATCACTGAATATTGCTTCCATGGACACATGCTGCTACCCTTGAATGTTGCGAACTTGGTACCATGCACGCATGGTGCTATCACTTATGCAACATTTGCTGCTATAACCTAATAATGCTCTCATGCTCACACCGTGCTATCACATGATGTTACTGACGCGCATGCACGCACACTGTTATCACTTCATGCTGCTGCGATGCACCCAGGCTGCAACCAATAAATGTTGCTATCACGCACACGTGCTGATACTGCTTGACATTGCTGCCATTCACTTGTACTTCTATCATGCACGCTCGCCTCATGCACGCTGGCCTCATGCTCACAGGCCTCACGCTCTCACCCAGCGGCAGATGTGCCGGTTGGTGCCCTCCACCTGCGGCCCATGCCCTGTCAGCAGCTGCAGCAGTACAACTCCAAAGCTGCCCACAATGTAAAAGAAAGGGGGAGCAGAAGTGGATTCCCCATGTGCAGGCAGTTTCACACATGGCACTTTGCATGTGGATGCTTCAATAGCATCCGCTGAACATAAATAGCGCATGGCTAAGCCAGTGTGTGCCACAGCTGCAACGTGTGTGTGTGAATGTATCTGTAACATGCTATGCTCTGTGGGAGCAACAGACCTGTACACGTCGCTCTTCTCAGTCACCACGCGCGTTCGGTTGTAGTCCGGATCCACGTAGCCTGGTGTTCCCGCCACCCGCGTTGTGTCGCCGCCCCTATCTGACTCAGCGAGCTTCTTGAGCAACCCGAAGTCAGCGATCTTGGCCTGGATTCACAGGGACATGCGGTTACACGGACACATGAATCCCCACATCTAACATATGTAACGATTCTTGGTGCATGCGTGCAAGCAGGAATGCAACAAGGCATCCGAAGCAGATCTTGTGTCCCAAATTGATTAGTCTGTGCGCAGCATAGGTAAATTCTGCCCATATTGCTGTGTGTGCCACGTCGCAAACCATTATTGGCAAACATGAAGACAACCGTCTTGCTGCTATATCCCTCCTCCCGCTTGTTACAATCAACCTGCACTCACGTGGCCCCTACTGCCACACTGTAGCAAGCCAAGGTAAGATTGTAGGATGTATTTTGTCAGGGCTACCCCCAACCGGCACATACTGCCGGTTACCCCACCATCCTTGGATTTCCAACCAGACTCCTCTGCATCGCCACAACAGTGAAGCCGCTTGACTCAAGCTGCTTCCCTCAATGAATTTCACTGCATGGTGACATCCCGCGCCGACCACCGTGCATGTTCATCATACCACATCCAACGTCGGTGTTCCCAACCACCGCTGGCATCCTTGCGGTCAAGACTGCATTGTGACACCTCAGCGTAATGGTTCACCTCAGCGTCATGGGTCACCTCAGCGTCATGGTTCACCTCAGCGTCATGGTTCACCTCATAACTTTTGAGACGTCTCAAACAACGTCGGTGTTCCAACCACCACTGACATCCTTGCCGCCAAGAATGCATCGTGACACCTCACCTCAGTGTCACGGTTCGCCTCATAATGCTGCTCGTGCCACCAACCTTTACGGCAGTTAGCATTGCTGGCTCCCTTCGTTTCCCTATATAGCATCTCACCTCGTCTGCATGCCCCTGCACGTTCTGACTCAACACCAATGCACTCGACAAGTTTCCAAATGTGATGCTCCCACCTGCTGGTGATTTTTATGTGCGCCTTGCCTGGTGCTGCTCCCTGTGTGCGCCCCATATGCTGGTGCTCCCTGTGTGCGCCTCACCTGGTGCTGCCCCCCCACGCCCTCCTGCTCCCCTGCGCCCCACCTGGTAGTAGTGCTCCCTGTGCGCAACCCCACCTGGTAGTAGTGCTCCCTGTGCGCAACCCCACCTGGAAGTAGTGCTCCCTGTGCGCAACCCCACCTGGTAGTAGTGCTCCCTGTGCGCAACCCCACCTGTTAGTAGTGCTCCCTGTGCGCAACCCCACCTGTTAGTAGTGCTCCCTGTGTGCAACAACACCTGCTAGTAGTGCTCCCTGTGCGCAACCCCACCTGGTAGTAGTGCTCCCTGTGCGCAAACCCACCTGGTAGTAGTGCTCCCTGTGCGCAACCCCACCTGGTAGTAGTGCTCCCTGTGCGCAACCCCACCTGGTAGTAGTGCTCCCTGTGCGCAACCCCACTTGGAAGTAGTGCTCCCTGTGCGCAACCCCACCTGGTAGTAGTGCTCCCTGTGCGCAACCCCACCTGTTAGTAGTGCTCCCTGTGCGCAACCCCACCTGGTAGTAGTGCTCCCTGTGCGCAACCCCACCTGGTAGTAGTGCACCCTGTGCGCAACCCCACCTGTTAGTAGTGCTCCCTGTGCGCAACCCCACCTGGTAGTAGTGCTCCCTGTGCGCAACCCCACCTGTTAGTAGTGCTCCCTGTGCGCAACCCCACCTGTTAGTAGTGCTCCCTGTGCGCAACCCCACCTGGTAGTAGTGCTCCTTGTGCGCAACCCCACCTGTTAGTAGTGCTCCCTATGCGCAACCCCACCTGGAAGTAGTGCTCCCTGTGCGCAACCACACCTGGTAGTAGTGCTCCCTGTGCGCAACCCCACCTGGTAGTAGTGCTCCCTGTGCGCAACCCCACCTGGTAGTAGTGCTCCCTGTGCGCAACCCCACCTGGAAGTAGTGCTCCCTGTGCGCAACCCCACCTGGTAGTAGTGCTCCCTGTGCGCAACCCCACCTGGAAGTAGTGCTCCCTGTGCGCAACCCCACCTGTTAGTAGTGCTCCCTGTGCGCAACCCCACCTGGTAGTAGTGCTCCCTGTGCGCAACCCCACCTGTTAGTAGTGCTCCCTGTGTGCAACCCCACCTGGTAGTAGTGCTCCCTGTGCGCAACAACACCTGTTAGTAGTGCTCCCTGTGCGCAACCCCACCTGGTAGTAGTGCTCCCTGTGCGCAAACCCACCTGGTAGTAGTGCTCCCTGTGCGCAACCCCACCTGGAAGTAGTGCTCCCTGTGCGCAACCCCACCTGTTAGTAGTGCTCCCTGTGCGCAACCCCACCTGGTAGTAGTGCTCCCTGTGCGTAACCCCACCTGGTAGTAGTGCTCCCTGTGCGCAACCCCACCTGGAAGTAGTGGCTCCCTGTGCGCAACCCAACCTAGTAGTAGTGCTCCCTGTGCGCAACCCCACCTGTTAGTAGTGCTCCCTGTGCGCAACCCCACTTGGTAGTAGTGCTCCCTGTGCGCAACCCCACCTGGTAGTAGTGCTCCCTGTGCGCAACCCCACGTGGAAGTAGTGCTCCCTGTGCGCAACCTCACCTGGTAGTAGTGCTCCCTGTGCGCAACCCCACCTGGTAGTAGTGCTCCCTGTGCGCAACTCCACCTGGTAGTAGTGCTCCCTGTGCGCAACCCCACCTGGTAGTAGTGCTCCCTGTGCGCAACCCCACCTGGTAGTAGTGCTCCCTGTGCGCAACCCCACCTGTTAGTAGTGCTCCCTGTGCGCAACCCCACCTGTTAGTAGTGCTCCCTGTGCGCAACCCCACCTGGAAGTAGTGCTCCCTGTGCGCAACACCACCTGGTAGTAGTGCTCCCTGTGCGCAACCCCACCTGGTAGTAGTGCTCCCTGTGCGCAACCCCACCTGTTAGTATTGCTCCCTGTGCGCAACCCCACCTGTTAGTAGTGCTCCCTGTGCGCAACAACACCTGTTAGTAGTGCTCCCTGTGCGCAACCCCACATGGTAGTAGTGCTCCCTGTGCGCAAACCCACCTGGTAGTAGTGCTCCCTGTGCGCAACCCCACCTGGTAGTAGTGCTCCCTGTGCGCAACCCCACCTGGTAGTAGTGCTCCCTGTGCGCAACCCCACCTGGAAGTAGTGCTCCCTGTGCGCAATCCCACCTGGTAGTAGTGCTCCCTGTGTGCAACCCCACCTGGTAGTAGTGCTCCCTGTGCGCAACAACACCTGTTAGTAGTGCTCCCTGTGCGCAACCCCACCTGGTAGTAGTGCTCCCTGTGCGCAAACCCACCTGGTAGTAGTGCTCCCTGTGCGCAACCCCACCTGGAAGTAGTGCTCCCTGTGCGCAACCCCACCTGTTAGTAGTGCTCCCTGTGCGCAACCCCACCTGGTAGTAGTGCTCCCTGTGCGTAACCCCACCTGGTAGTAGTGCTCCCTGTGCACAACCCCACCTGGAAGTAGTGGCTCCCTGTGCGCAACCCAACCTAGTAGTAGTGCTCCCTGTGCGCAACCCCACTTGGTAGTAGTGCTCCCTGTGCGCAACCCCACCTGGTAGTAGTGCTCCCTGTGCGCAACCCCACGTGGAAGTAGTGCTCCCTGTGCGCAACCTCACCTGGTAGTAGTGCTCCCTGTGCGCAACCCCACCTGGTAGTAGTGCTCCCTGTGCGCAACTCCACCTGGTAGTAGTGCTCCCTGTGCGCAACCCCACCTGGTAGTAGTGCTCCCTGTGCGCAACCCCACCTGGTAGTAGTGCTCCCTGTGCGCAACCCCACCTGTTAGTAGTGCTCCCTGTGCGCAACCCCACCTGTTAGTAGTGCTCCCTGTGCGCAACCCCACCTGGAAGTAGTGCTCCCTGTGCGCAACACCACCTGGTAGTAGTGCTCCCTGTGCGCAACCCCACCTGGTAGTAGTGCTCCCTGTGCGCAACCCCACCTGTTAGTAGTGCTCCCTGTGCGCAACCCCACCTGTTAGTAGTGCTCCCTGTGCGCAACAACACCTGTTAGTAGTGCTCCCTGTGCGCAACCCCACATGGTAGTAGTGCTCCCTGTGCGCAAACCCACCTGGTAGTAGTGCTCCCTGTGCGCAACCCCACCTGGTAGTAGTGCTCCCTGTGCGCAACCCCACCTGGTAGTAGTGCTCCCTGTGCGCAACCCCACCTGGAAGTAGTGCTCCCTGTGCGCAATCCCACCTGGTAGTAGTGCTCCCTGTGCGCAACCCCACCTGTTAGTAGTGCTCCCTGTGCGCAACCCCACCTGGTAGTAGTGCTCCCTGTGCGCAACCCCACCTGGTAGTAGTGCTCCCTGTGCGCAACCCCACCTGTTAGTAGTGCTCCCTGTGCGCAACCCCACCTGGTAGTAGTGCTCCCTGTGCGCAACCCCACCTGTTAGTAGTGCTCCCTGTGCGCAACCCCACCTGGTAGTAGTGCTCCCTGTGCGCAACCCCACCTGGTAGTAGTGCTCCCTGTGCGCAACCCCACCTGGTAGTAGTGCTCCCTGTGCGCAACCCCACCTGTTAGTAGTGCTCCCTGTGCGCAACCCCACCTGTTAGTAGTGCTCCCTGTGCGCAACCCCACCTGGAAGTAGTGCTCCCTGTGCGCAACCCCACCTGGTAGTAGTGCTCCCTGTGCGCAACCCCACCTGGTAGTAGTGCTCCCTGTGCGCAACCCCACCTGGTAGTAGTGCTCCCTGTGCGCAACCCCACCTGGTAGTAGTGCTCCCTGTGCGCAACCCCACCTGTTAGTAGTGCTCCCTGTGCGCAACCCCACCTGGTAGTAGTGCTCCCTGTGCTCCCTGTGCGCAACCCCACCTGGTAGTAGTGCTCCCTGTGCGCAACCCCACCTGGTAGTAGTGCTCCCTGTGCGCAA